CCATCACCACCTCCACAGCCACCTTATCTCAAGCATTCAATTGCATTCTAAGTTATCTTTATTCAAATCAAGTGTGACTACTATACTAAAAGACTGTAGAATGGGCCAATCAAGTAAGATGTCAAAATTTATATCTTTTATATAGAACTCTTTTACTTTTAGATAAACCTCTTAATTTTATGACTTATGAACATATTTAGCAATGTAAACCTTTTAGGATAGACTTTTTAAAATCAAATTTACATTGTTTTAGTAAATTTTTATTTAAAATAACTTTGTATACATAATATATCTATATAGTTATTTACATTGTAGCTAACCCATCAGTACTTGCAAAGTCTTCTTTTCTGTAAGCCCGAAATTTGAGTTCTAAAATACCATTATCCACATAACTACTATATCAAAGCACAAACTAATGGATTGATCAAGTAATACTTAATTTTTACCTTGAGTTGTATGTTATATATATATATATATATATATATATATATATATATATATATATATATATATATATATATATATATATATATATATATAAATATATAAATATATATATATATATATATATATATATATATATATATATATATATATATATATATATATATATATGCATATATATTTACATATATATATATATATATATATATATATATATATATATATATATATGCATATATATTTACATATATATATATATATATATATATATATATATATATATATATATATATATATATATATATATATATATATATATAAAATGAGTAGCCTCCTCGAATGTAGTGGCCCCCTCGGGCCTGGTGAATAATTATATATATATATATATATATATATATATATATATATATATATATATATATATATATATATATATATATATATATATATATATATATATATATATATATATATATATATATATGTTGTACAGATATTGTTATAAAGTAATAGAATACTTTATAATATTGTATTACTATGTTTAGGAAGGGCACTGCAGTTGTCTTGCAGTTATGCAACTTATCAACCCATAACTGCGATAACTGCAAGTTTTTTTAATAAGGTTTTTATTATATAAATATTATATATTTTACAGAGTTGTAAAGAAAAGTTCTCTATCAATTATTACTATAGTTACTCAATGCACACTGTACTAATGTACAATCTTCTATAATCTATAAAACTATGGATTTATAAAGTTGTTAAATGAATGATTTATATGAATAGAATAAAGATGTTTATTGAGTTATTTTTATTATTTTTAGAAAAGAGATTGTATGACTTCGGTATCCGCAATACGGTATCGTGCATTGATTCCCATCTTAGAATGGCTCTCTTCCGTATAGGTGGAAATAGGAAAGGTTATCTCCTTTTTTCCAATTCTTAAAACAAAGAGGCTTAATCGGTTCAAACAAAGATGACGATGATCATTATGGAGCCGATCATAATGAGGAATACGATAATACATATAATAATAAATAAAATGATTTTACTTGTATCTTAAACTTAATCTTAAAAAATACCGATAAACGAATCAAACCTCTTCTTTTATTTAAGCTGCTTTAAATAAGCACCGTAAAAAAAAGTTTAAATAAAAAATTATTTGTTTAATGTTTGATTTGTTTATGAGTATTTAGATACTGCGTTCAGCGTTTAACTTTTTTTTACGGTGCTTATTTAAAGCAGCTTAAATAAAAGAAGAGGTTTGATTCGTTTATCGGTATTTTTTATTTATTTAAGCTAATTTTATTTATAATAAGCGCCGTAAAATAAAATTTAACGTCGCGAAATTTTAAACGAAAGATGGAGTTTAAATAGCGTTTAAAACAAACCATTTAGATATGGTTAAAATGGAACATTCGTTTGACCTACGTTCTAAATCGAAACTAAATTAAATCTAAACATTTAGAACGAACATTAACTAAACGTTGATTAAATGTTCGAATGCCCGTTGGGTATATATATATATATATATATATATATATATATATATATATATATATATATATATATATATATATATATATATACCCAACGGGCATTCGAACATTTAATCAACGTTTAGGTAATGTTCGTTCTAAATGTTTAGATTTAATTTAGTTTTTATTTAGAACGTAGGTCAATCGAATGTTCCATTTAAATCATATCTAAATGGTTCGTTTTAAACGCTATTTAAACTTTATTTAAATCTTTCGATTAAAACTTCGCGACGTTAAACTTTATTTTACGGCGCTTATTTAAAGAAGCATAAATAAAGACAAAATATTGATAAACGAATCAAACTTTTCTTTTTATTTAAGCTGCTTTAAATAAGCACCGTAAAAAAAAGTTAAACGCTGAACGCATTATCTAAATACTCATAAATAAATCAAACATTAAACAAATAATTTTTTATTTATATAAGTCTAAGATACAAGTAAAAACATTTTATTTATTATTATATGCATTATCGTATTCGTCATCATGATCGGCTCCATAATGATCATCGTCATCTTTGTTTGAACCGATTAAGCCTCTTCGTCTTAAGAACTAGAAAAAAGGACACAACCTATCCTATTTCCACCTATACGGAAGAGAGCCATTCTAAGATGGAAATCAATGCACGATACCGTATTGCGGATACCGAAGTCATACAATCTCTTTTCTAAAAATAATAAAAATAATTCAACAAACATCTTCATTCTATTCATTTAACAACTTTATAAATCCATAGTTTTATAGATTATAGAAGATTGTACAATAGTAGAGTGTACATTGAGTAATTATGGTAACAATTGACAGAGAACTTTTCTTTAAAACTCTGTAAAATATATAACATTATATAATAAAAACCTTATTAAAAAAATTTGCAGTTATCGTAGTTATGGGTTGATAAGTTATATATATATATATATATATATATATATATATATATATATATATATATATATATATATATATATATATATATATATATATATATATATATATATATATATATATTCATTGTCTTGAGGAGCCTACTGCTCCTCAAGACAATGAATAATGGGAGTTATCAAACTTTATATATATATATATATATATATATATATATATATATATATATATATATATATATATATATAAAGTTTGATAACTCCCATTATTTATTGTCTTGAGGAGCAATAGGTACACTTAGTATCCTGTTTAATTGAAACTTTCTATTTAATTGAAAAGTTGTGGAGATACCGACAGTTTCACTACAATATAAATAAACATGTAAAAATAAAAATGTAATTCTTACACTTCTTAAAGTTTAAAAACTAATCAACAAACATAATAATTAAAATTTATATATCAAAATTATATATATGTACTAACACGCAATTTAAGGTAAAAATTAAGTATTACTTGATCAATCCATTAGATTGTACTTTGATAAAGTAGTTATGTGGATAATGGTATTTTAGAACTCAATTTTTGGGCTTACAGAAAAAGAGACTTTGCAAGTACTGATGGGTTAGCTATTATGTAAATAACTATATAGATATATTATGTATACAAAGTTATTTTAAATAAAAATTTACTAAAACATTGTAAATGTGATTTTAAAGTCTATCCTAAAAGGATTACATTGCTAAATATGTTCATAAGTCATAAAATTAACAGGTTTATTTAAAAATAAAGGAGTTCTATATAAAAGATATAGATTTAGACATCTTACTTGATTGGTCCATTCTAGAATCTTTTGGTAAAGTAGTCACAATTAATTTGAATAAAGATATCTTAGAATGCGATTTAATGCTTGAGACAAGGTGGCTGTGGAAGTGGTGATGGTTTAACTAAAATATAAATCCGAGTGTATATTGTCTGAGATATGTTCATTACAATTATTATTAGTCTTCAAAGATGTAAAGTAGGACAACTTACTTGCATAATCAATTGAATATACTTGCAGTACCACAACCATAATCTTTTTGTATAATTAAACATTTGTAACTTTTTTTTATACTTAAATGCATCATGCATGCATGCTATATTATAATACAGCATGCATGAATAATGCATGCAAGTATTTTTGGCACTAAGGTCTTCACAAACTTTATTTCATGTTTATTGTTACATCAAATTAGCTAACCTGTCAATATTCGTACCTTTTGCATTAACATTAACATAAAATTCTTCCTCAACTGAAAAATAAAAACTCTTTTACTATTCCATAAAAATACTATAACCATAAAAATGGTTAATCATTTACTAACTAAAACTTGCTTCTTTTTTTTTTTTTTACATAAAAATTAGAACAAACTAAATAAAACTATTATTTTTAAATTTATAATATATATATATATATATATATATATATATATATATATATATATATATATATATATATATATATATATATATATATATATATGTATATATATATATATATATATATATATATATATATATATATATATATATATATATATATATATAAATATATATATATATATATATAAATATATATATATATATATATATATATATATATATATATATATATATATATATATATATATATATATATATATATATATATATATATATATATATATATATAATATTATTTGCTTTAACAAGCGATTTATTCAATTTTTAGTGCAGTTTTTCCATAATTAACCATTTCTCCTGTAATTGCATTAAACTAGTAATATTAACTCTGAAGAAATTGAAAAAAAAAATAATTTAGTATAGAATAATGCACAATTATGGATTAATTATATATGTTATTATTTTCAATTTATATATTATTAGTTTCTATATAAACATTAACAAATTAAAATGAAACCTTTAAAAGAGTTGTAAAATCAGTACTTTTGCGCTTTTTTGATATCTGCTGATTATGAATGCTTTCTTCAGTTTCTGATATTTAAAAGTTTTGCAATCCTCATAACAATCTGTAAAAGAAATAACAAAACATTTTATCCTTTCTATTAGAGCAATGACAAATAAATTTAAAAAGTAAATTATTTAACATTTTGTGAATAAAAATTATCATATCACAAACTAAAATAACAATTCAATAAAATATCAAGCTTCTGGTTCTTCAAACAGACTGGCGATATGACATTTTGCTAAAATGTTAAAACTAATTTGGTTGAAGGTACATCAACACATAACATTAACTTGTTAAAAGCGTTTTAAATAAGTTTAGTCATCTAGTTTTTTAGCTTTTTTTGCAGACTTTAGTTTTCCTAATTCCGAGGGATGATATACTTATACATACTATATATTTCAACCCGTTAAAACTTCAAGCTTGGTAGGTTTTTCATAACATAATAAAATAAAAAAAAAATAATGCTATAAATATTTCAATAGCTTTTAGATATAGAGCATAAGATAAAAACTAAACAATTTGAACTCTCTTTTAACTAATTTAAACTTTAAAGACTCGAACCAATCATCAATGTACCTTTTAAATATAACAGGAATTACCTTTAATCTTACATTAATTTTTAAGCGTTGAATTTTTATTATAGCTTTTCAGAAGCTTGAGCAATTAGATTATGATTTAAAAGGTAAATGTCTGACAGATGTTCAACTATTAGAATCAAAGTACAGAGTTAGCACTTTATCTTGTGATTACTAAAAGAATAACTATTAGTTTTAAAAATCACTGCAGTTTTTATTTACAGAATCTTTACAGAAATAGCCATTAACTTATTTATTATTTTAGGAAAATCTAAATTTTAAAGGAGTAAAAAAGTCACAAAAACTTACCACTTGCATGTGTACTTGGCTGTTTCCTGCTGCTTTAATTGTTGTTGCAACTGACTGGACTGTATATAAAATATTAAATGAAATTAAACACACAAAACTTAACAATAAAAAATATATTTATGCGGATTTCATAAAATTATGTAATATAGCTATATATATTATTGTTCAAAATATGTTAACTTTTCTACTAAAGAGAAAATAAATGATACAATATAATAATCATATCAGACATAAGTAAATTTATTTTCTCTTTAGTGGTTATCATATAGGAGTATGAATACTACTTAAATTTTTAAAAATATTTTTTAGTTTACATTAAAAGCTTTCACTAAAACTGAAGATCCATTATATAAATATTTCAACCTCACAATTTTTAATTGGCACTGACTGCACTAAAAGTATAAATATAACATTGCTATTCGATCAATATAACATCTATCATAAACAAATAGATGTTAGGTCTTAAAATAAACAAACAATAATAATTTTATTTAGTTATTTAAAATGTAGCTACGACTTAAAATGCATAATTTTTCTCTTAAACTTTTAGAGAAAATTTATGCATTTTAAGTAATATTTTAGCGTTGTTAAAAACCAAACAGAAAAAACAATTTAAGAAATAGTTTAAAAAGATGCTGAAATTGCTACTTTTCTGAAACTACTGCTACTTTTTTGAAACTGCTATTTTAGTAGCTATAACTAAAAAAAAGAATTATCAAAATATATTGATACTGTACTTAAAATTACTTTTAATCGCTCATACAATATCATCAAAGAACTTACAGGACTTTTTAACTCCTTCATTAGCCACAATATAATACTAAAAACAAATTTCTTTTATTTTTTCTAAACCTTTATTACATAATTTAAGATTAATAAGAAACTCTAATTTTTAATCATAATGAAAGATTCAAAATGTCCGACACATTTTGTAAGAAACTAATTTAATTTAGTTAGTTCCGTACGGAAATTGTTTGATTTAGCTTTTCAACGCAAATTAAATATTCAGAACACGTTTAGATTAGATTCCTAAACGTTTAGATCGACGTAAATGCCATCTAAACGTGATCTAAACCAATTTTAAACCAACAAATGCCCGTTGGGTATATATATATATATATATATACATATATATACATATATAATACATATATAATACATATGTATACATATATAATAGTCCCAGCCGGCATTATTACGTTGTTTCAACGTTGAAATTCGGTTGAAGCGTTGTTTCCACGTTGTTCAACTATTTCACAACGTTAAATCAACGTTACCGTTTAAACGTTGATTATTTAACGTTATTTCAACGTTAAATCACATTACAGTTTAAACGTTGATTATTTAACGTTATTTCAACATCATTGTTTCAATCCTTGTTGACAAAAAAAACGATATAAAATTTATGCGCGCGCAGAAATGGAATTAAAAACGTAAACATTATTTCAACGGTAAGTACATGGGTAAGTACATGATTCCATAGCGAAGTTAGGTCCCGTAAAATGTTCCGCAATAGTCCCGCTTCACGTCCAGGACAGAGTTAACATAATTAATTTTTGCATTTATAATTTAATTTATAAAATAATTAATATTCTTTAAATGTGGAGCACGTTTTCACCTGGTTATCGTCGAAGATTAAATTTAAATTGGTAAAAAAATTATTATTATAAATAATAATAATTTAAATTTATTAGAAAAAACAACATTGAGTAGAGGTAATACAAGACATTTTAACTTTTTTAGACAAAATATTTTAAATTTTGAATATAAAAAGCTTAAGTTGATGTTTGTTTTACTACTCGTTTAAAAACATTTCTCAGGAATGACATCCCTGAAAAATTTAAAAATTTAAAAACATTCCGAATGTTTTTAAACGAGTAATATAATATAAGCTTTTTATATTCATAATTTAAAATATTTTGTCTAAAAAGGAATTTCCTCTACAAGCACACTTTAAATGAAGTATCAATTTCCACGTTTGTATGGTTGTTACTGTTTAAATTTTTTTAGTTGTTATTTCTCAAGAAGGAAGTTGGGTTACTGTAGAAACATACGTTGAAGTACTTTTTTTGATACATAGCTACGAAACAGAGACTGTATCAAAGTTTTCATGGCATGAAAACTTTGATACAGCCTCTGTTTCGTAGCTATGTATCAAAAAAAGTACTTCAACGTATGTTTCTACAGTAAGCCAACTTCCTTCTTTCCTTTCCTTTAGCAACACTATTAGTGCTGCTAAAAACTGGAAATATGGTATGACAATTTTAAATGAAGTTTTTTAAAATGCAATTGCAAAATTTTAATTTTCTTTTATATTTGTATAGTTATTATTTAAAATTTTTGTTGTTGTTGTTATCTTAAAAGGTTCTTCTGCAAAACACCACAAAATAAGATGATTCAATATCATTTAATGGTACTCCCTTTATGGTTTTAGGATGTAAAGTGCTTGATTGTATGCACGGGAATGATAGAAAAGCCTCTTCTAAAGAATTTTATAAAATTCATTTGTTATTATAATATGTTTTTCTTTATCAATTTGTTTCTAAAATAGCTCCTGTATTTAATGATTATATGTCTAAACCTTTTGTCTAATTTTCTTAATAGGTATCAGATCACAGTTTTTTAAAAAGCTATTTGCTATATTTAAATTTCTTGGTCACCAAGAAATTTAACTGTAGTTTTCAAATAAAAATTTAGAAAGTTTTAAAGTTCCCAAGTTTTAAGGTTTTATTTCATTGTTTGTGTAATTTATATTATTGAAATGAGATTTAAGTCAGTCCTATATTAACTACTCAAGACATACATGCATTAACTTAAAATATAACCAATTAATTTATGCTAATTCTTTTTAAAATAAACTTTGTTTTAGATTGCTGAGGATACTAAACTTAAAAGAGTGCAATTCTCAAACCGTATTAAAGATGCTTTGTCAAGAAATAAAGCAGTAAGGGAAAGAGTGTTTCCAGTTTGCTTTCCTTCAAAAAGTTCTCATACTGGTCATTTTACTAGAGATGTAAGATTTCTTTTTTCCTTTTTTGTGTAGATAAAGTTAAACAATAGATTTTAAAAGAAAAAAACATTAAAGAGTTATCCAAATTAATTTTCATTTCTTGTTTGTCTGTTTTAAACATCTTAAAGTTGGTTTATTATTTCAAACATGTTATTTAACTTGTTTTGTCATATAACATTTATTAAATTTTAACATTTATATTAATATGTTTCCATTTATTTAAACCAACAACAATAAGGTTGTAGTAAATATCTTAATTGTATCTTAATTGCTATTTTTATTGCTGTTGTTTAGGAACTTTAGATTTAATATTGTTTAAAATATGTATAAACTTTCTTGTGTTCAGTATATTTAGTATATCATATTTAGTATCTTGATTCAGATTACTTAAGGCCTTAAATTTAAATGCCTGCTCCTACTGATGGTTTTGTTATATACTCGGTATGTTCTTGTACTATTCCTAATATATGTAATATTGTTCATACAAACTTCAATATTTTCACCAGGGGTGGGTTTTGTCACTCACCACGGAGGTGGCTAAAATGGTTTTTAAAAAAAAAGGTTTGCATTTTTTCACTTAAAAGTGACTTTCTTTAACTTTTTGTACTTTAGTGTATAATCAAGTTCATATATGTATAATTACCTATAATAGTCAATTACCTATAATAGTCAATCCCAATGGGGGGCGGGGGCAACTACCCCCATGCCCACTCTAAAACTCGCCACTGATTTTCACAGTCTGCTAAAGCTATTAAGTGTATCAATGAAGAGAACTGATCTATCAATCATTTTTACAAGCAATCAATAAAATACCTTATTGAAAGTAGGAAGAAGGAAGCTTGTACTATTGTAAAATAAAATGATATCTGTTTCTGTAGCATTATATATATTAAAGTGTACTTTATTTTAGATCAAATTGCATGATTTCACATTTATCCTTATTAAAACTGATTAGCCTTTTTTTTTTCCAGTTAAATAAGATGTCAAGATCAAACTGTGTAGAGTGATTTTTTTTTTTTCTAATTGAGTTATTTTCTAAATTTTCAAAATATTTTCAAAAATTTCAAATACTTCTTGGAATATGCATCTTAAAAATGGAATTCATATTTTAATAAAGATATAAATTTTATTGAAAAAGTCTAACAAATAGCGGCAAAAATTGGCTACAAAAGAAAGGGAGCAAGTTACAAGCAAAGATTATAAGAAATGGGCTTACAAAATCTATCAAATAGAAGAGAAAACAGCGATCTCATTAAAATGTTTGAACTTATAAACAACCATGATATTATCAATTAGAACTGCGTTCCACAAGTATTGGGTAAGCTTACAGAGGCCACAATCAAAGGTCGAGAAGACATTTTGTTAAAAACTTTTTGTTGAGACCAATTTTTTTACAAACCATATACAGTGGGTGGCTAAATTATTTGGGACACTTCACTTTTTAAGTAATTTTAAAGTTTAAATGATTTTTGCAAGCAAATAATTTTTTTTAAATAAAAAGTTTTGAGTGTATTTTAGTCACTAATATAACTATAGTTGTTTTTAAACTGGCAATTTGTGATAACCCAATCTGTCAAAAAGTTAGGTTATTACTCAATTAGCTGTCAATTTTTGAAAAGTGTGGTTGAAAGTCAAAAATTCAAAATTGATTTCAGTTACTTATTTTTGGAACAATTTTTTGCAAGTTTTTTGAATTTAAAACTATTGAAACCTAAATATTCGTTAATAGTTCAATTAGTTTAGTTATTAATTTAGTATTTTTGGAATGGGCTAGAAAACACCAGAATATGACTATTGAAGACTGGAGTAGAGTTAATATAATTTATAATATTGTAAGAAACCAGAAAAATTTAAGGATAAATATTTATTTTTGAAATATCTTTGATATATTTTGCAGGTCAAATATCTTTAAAATGTTTTACAGGTCTGCTTCTTGGGCCAATCAGCATTTCAAATTTTGATGGACAAAAGGTCATTTGTTCGACGATGCCCAGAAAAAAATTTCACTAGGACTGCCTTTTGGAAAAGGTTCAACATCCTGTGAGTGTAGGGGTGTGGTCTGTGATCTCAGCCAAGGGTATGGGCTGCCTTTACATTGTGGAAGGAACCATGAAGCAGGATTGGTCCTGCCATATGGTTCCTTCTTACAAGCGATTACTGGAAAACAGGCTCCTGCTCCAGGTTTAAGAATGGTTCCCTGGTAATGAAGAGTATATGTTCATGCATGACTCAGCACCGTCCCATAAAGCTAGAAGTGTTACAGCATTCCTAACTGAAAAAAAAGTGCATGTTTTGCCATGGCCAGGGAATTCACCTGATATTAACCCTATAGAAAATTTATGACAGTTCATTAAACAGAAAATTGCCAAAAAAAATTATCACTACCAAGCAGCAATTGATAGAAACCCTTATAAGAGAGTGGAATAGCAACCTCAGTCTCCAACACAATGCAGAAGTCTACATAGATAGCATGCCCAGACGCCTGAAATCTGTTATTGTAGCTAAGGGTGGCATTACAAAATATTAAGATTATTACCTTATTTGTCATGTTTTCAAACTTTTTATAAAAAAATAAATAGCAATGAATAAGTAATTATGTTGTTTTATATTCTAAATAAAACTATCTACCAATAAAAAAAATAACAATAAGATACATATTCATTAAAGTAGTTTGTACTTTAAAATTACTTAAAAACTAACCCACTGTAGTTAAAAAGTGTAATTGTTTGCATAGAAAAGTTGTCAATGCCATTTCAGTAATTGATTCCAAGAAAAAGTTTAAAGAATTTAGCTTTGATGAATTCGTTGATGATTTTTCAAGATTTTTTTTGTATTACTTTGTTGTGATATCTTTCTACCATTAGCACCTATCTACCTTTTGATATCCATCTATCTTTATTTGGTATGCCAGCTTTTATACAATTCTGGCCTTCTTAAAAGTGTTGATAAAATGCAAAGAAGATTAGAGATCATTGCCTTAAAAGAAATATTTCAAAATAATGTGTGTCCAATAAGATCAAATAAAAAGTTTTTCCTATCAAATAAAATTATTTGTATTCATATGCTTTTGGTGTCTAATTATATAAGTTGTACACCAAATAAGTCTTGTGTGTTCTTTTAACAAGTGGCTGCAAATGTTTATAATGTATTTGTTACATTCAGAGTTGACACATTTTTGTTATTTTAAATTTGTTTATAATGTATTTGTTACATTCAGAGTTGACACATTTTTGTTATTTTAAAGTTCTAATAACTGTTAAGTTATTAGAAAATAAAGAATAGAGTTAAATAGTAACAATTCGGTTGACACAAGACTTGAAAATTTGTAGGCTGTATGAGTTAGAAAAACATTATTACGGGAGAAAGTTCCAAAGGGTTCAATTAAGGGGAAAAAACTAAACAAATAAAAATTTTTATGGCATACAGGGACAGATACAGTAAAGAGGTGAGACTTTGCTAAATGACGAGTCAAGCAAAAATGAGTTTATGGAACTAGAGGTGAAAGCTCCTTTAAGTAGGGACCATGTTAGTATTTGTAGAAAAGAGATGCAACTTGACGACGTTGAAAGAGAGGCTCTAGCTTGACAGATAGAGCAGGTACTACACAACTACATTTACAATGCATATTTGGACCTTATCTTGAGAAATAAGAGCATCATTGGAAGAACCAGTCTAAATATGACAACATTATTCCAAACAGGGGCAAAAAAGAGGTTAGCAGAGGTAGAAATGAAATTGGGAGTAAGAAAATGGCAAGCACGATAAAAAGAAGCAACTTTAGCAGCTGCTTTTTTTTTTGCATTTGCATTTAGCAATCAATTGTATATATGGTTTCCATGAAGGGTCATAAGTGAATAATAATCCAAGAAGAGGACTCAGTGAAGGGCTTGCTATTTATCAATATAGGAATGTCAACAGTATTGCTATTTGTATAATATAGTTATTTGTAGTAAATAACTAAGTTTGGTTGAAGTTAAAATTCACAAGCCATGCAAGCCTCAATCTGTTACAGAGTTTAGATCAGATTCAAGATTGAATTTTTGTCAAGGCAGTAGTATAAAGTTGAGTCACCAGCAAATAAAGCCACTTTAGATGTAAGGTTGCCAGGAAGATCACTAATATAGATAAGAAACAAAACAGGATTAAGGATAAAACCTTGAGATACCGCAGAAGTTACTGGAAATAAAGAAGAGTGTTGGCATTTAAGGATGACTTTAAATAAGTGGTTCAAATATTTATGATTTTTATAAAAACTGGAGTATATAATTGTATCATCAGCAAATTGAGCAATTAAACCACTTAAGAGGTAAGATTGTCACATAAGATCAATACATTAATATAGAAAAAAACTCCCTTTGGTGTGACCTATATGGACAATATTAGGAGATAACGAGAAAGAGTTTCAAATTAAGGCTTTTTTAAATTGTTTTTCTTGTAGGCTTATTCTCACTCTCTTTTTATTCGTAAGCCCTAATAAAACCTAATGATCTGTTTTTGAGCACTATCAATGGGAATATTATCACTGTACAAAGTTATTGGCTTTTTTTTAGGATACTTATTACTTAAGTATAAAGACGTCCGAAACTTGTGTTGTTTAAAGAATCTTAATGTAAGTAAAGATGTTACTACAAAATAATAACAGTTTATGTGATTAGGAAACTATTTGTTTATTTAGTATAAGGTTTAAGTCTATAATATATTTTTTGAGTTGTTTTTTTTAAACTTATTTCCAAATAACTTTAAGTAAATTTTTATGTTATTGTCAGTTATTTATTATTTATATCTAATATAAGTAAGGAATTTTTGTTTTTAAAATGTTATTTTAATTTATGTGTTTTTAAATTTATTTTACATCAATCGATCTTTTTAAATCAAAATGATTCAGTTTATTTTATATTTCTCTATATCTACATGTATGTTTTCTCTTAAGAAAAATAATTAGGAATAGGAAAATTAAAAAATATTAAAAATATATTTATATGTTATATAACATTAAAAAAGTATATTGTGTTTTATAGTTAGTATATATGTTTATAATGTTGTTTCCATAATTTCAAAGTGGTGTGACTTGGCAAACTTGTAGAGCAATATTTGTCAACCTTACCATTCAAGCAATGTTACTGCTTTAGGTCTAAGTTTTGTCTACCCTTTAATATAACTATACTAAAAAATACATAACATTATCTTTGATAATTTTTTGCTTAATTTTGTCACCTTTGGCTTATCTTTATGTTGGTGTCTGTTGTTTAAAAATGATTAATAGGTAGTTTCATTACTAGGACTCACTGCTTTTATTTATTTACTAAAAGTCATTCAAGACATCATTTCGCTATAAATACATTTTGTTTATCATGAAATAAAAATATTTAACAACTATGGTATCACAACAGCTTATCTCTATCAGGTACATTGATTTTCAAATCACGTATTTTGTTTTTGTTCGTATTTACTTATTCGTTACATTTTTTAACTTCAGATTTATCAAATGGTATATTTATTTGTTAAAGAAGAAAAAATCATTATAAATTTTTATGAATTTTTTAAAAATATCTGCTGGCAATTAGTCCAGTCAACATTTAAAGTTCAATGTTGCATATACCTTTTTTAAGTAGTTTCTAGGCTTTTTTAAATGCTTTTCTTATTCAAGTGGTTTTAGAAGCAAGGTCTGCAAGTAAATTAGAGCTGAAAAGTTTTTCAGCTTTCAAGGAGAATTAATTAGTTTAATTATATATGTTTAAAAATAGAGTAGTTTAAAAAAATAAATGTTTGTTTGTTTTTCGTTTTTTACTTATTTGTTTTCGGATTCTTAAGAACTAGGCAACTTAGAGAAGCAAGATTTATTCTTTTTTTTAGTGCAATTAGAAAGAGCTGAAGTGCTTTTTAGTCACTTCAAATCAATTGTTTGTTTGTTTGTTTTTTAAATAGAAGGATTAATAATAATAAAAATTTTTAGACAGTTGAACTGTTACTGATTTGAGTAAGTTTAATACTTTGTTCTATTTTTTATTGAATTTATTTTATATTAGATATATTTTATGTATTTAACATGGAAAGCTGACTGTAATTTGTTTGACAGGTAAGTTTATATACATAAATGTGCCTATATTTCAGTATATTTTATATTTCTCTATCTATATAAATATTATCTTAAATAAAAGAGAAAAAAAAAAGTTTGAATATATATATATATATATATATATATATATATATATATATATATATATATATTCAAATTTTTTTTTTCTTTTTATATATATATATATATATAATATATATATATATATATATATATATATATATATATACATACATACATACATACATACATACATACATACATACATACATACATACATACATACATACATACGTACATACATACATATATTACTTTAGACTGACATTGCTTCTTTTTTTATTAAAGCTTCTGCATTTATTATTTTTGTGCATTAAGATTGTGTCTGAAGGTAAAAGTAACTTTGTGCATTGTAGTCTAAATTCTTTGTTAAATTAATGTAAAAAAATTTTGTTTTATATTTTTAATGAACAACTTCTTTTTATAAACTTATAAAAATATATGAATATCAATAAATCTTAATTTAAAATAAAAGCCTTTGATTAGAAAAGATCACAATTTGTAAAATTATTTTACGTTCATTTATTCATTTGTAACAGTAGTATAATCACTGGTAATGTGTTTAATGATAACAGATGTATAATATTAGGTTCGAAGATGTTTTTAGTGTAAATGGTAATAGGTGACTTGAAAAATTGTTGTCAAATGAAAGAGATAGATTTAGGCCTAATAAAATTAATTGTCGTTGAAATGTAAGAAATTCTGCTCGATGAACAGAAAACTTACTTGCCAGAATTCATTGTCAAGCAGTGTTGATGTCTATTAATTTGATTTTACATTAGACACTTTTTATTTTACAATTTTACATAAGAATAAAGCAAGGTATGAATTTTACTATTTATAGTAACAATTAATAACAGTTTCAATTTTAAATGATTTTAATTTTTTTTTTTTTTTTTTTTTTTTTTTTTTTTTTTTTTTTTTTGCAAACATAATTTTGTTCTTTTGTTTTTAGTTGCCTTTATCATCACTTGATTATTTTGCTCACTGTTGAAACATGGTTCTAATTTTGTAAATTTAATATGATGTGAAATTTACTTTATTAATCATTAGTCAATAGTTAGAGAGAAGCTGAATCTTAATTAAGCAATGCTGGAAATTAACTTTTAATTCAGGTAAAAATAATTTTGTTTATTGTTAGCATAAAATCAGTTACTGTTTTTTATTGCAAATCTTTTTTACTTTTTTTAACATGCTGCTTTTGAAACATTTCCTCTCTCTCTTAGATGAGACTTAAATGACAGTATGTACAGGGTGAATTGATAAAACTCGTGTAATTACTGAGCTCTTGCGCATTTTTCAATACTACAATTGATAATGACCATTTATAAGTTATATTTTACGAGTTGCTATTTAAAGATATAATTCTTTAAATTGTTTAACTATAGTTGTCCCTTGGTTGTTCAAATATTGTAATAAAGAAAATCTTTTTAGTTTCAAGTATTTTACTTTAGGGATTGTCCATATATTACATAATGCGAAATTAAACTTATAGACAAAAGATATATCTCAAAAGTCGTGTTTCTCTCATAGCCAACTATATGTTGCATGTTCAAAAACTAGAGCATTTAATAGTTTGTTTTTCACAATTGTTAAACATCCTATCAAGGTAAAAAGTGAACACAAATAGTGTTATACTTTCTATTGTTCATAATTAATTATCTTTAGATTTTTATTTCGATAATTTACTGTTAAAGGTTGTGAGCATGTGTAACTTTATTTATTATTATTATTTTTTTCCATAGTTTTTGATAAATATATCTGTCATTTAATATAAAATGTGCTTATATGTCTTATATAAAGTCATATTTGTTTATAGCTGTATATATGTTTATATTGAGTTGTTTCTATGCTTTCAAAGTGGTGTGGCTTGGTATTATGTTGAGCAAGTTTGATAACCTTGCCAGCCAAGAGGTGTACTTATAGCAGAGGTGCGACTTAGCAGCATTTAATGCTAGGCAGTGTTACTGCTTTAGAGCTAGGTTGTGTTGTCAAGCCTTTTTAAATTATTCTGAAAACACATAATAATGTCTGTTAATGTTTAGCGTAATGTGTATGAGAGAGTATGCAACCTAAATCTTTAAATCTAGCGTGCTTTAATGTCCTAAATTTGAAATAATTGAATAACTAATGTTGAATATAAAAACAAATATATCTTATTTAAAGTTTAATAAAAAAATAAATATAACTCTAAAATAATTTTTTAATTTTGCCTTTCAAATTTGAATTTAGTTTGTTATTTTCACTGGATTTTATTGCTATGTGTTATTGCTGTAATGTTACTGTTGTAATGTTTTGTGTTGATAGACAGCTTGGCTTACCTTCCCGTTGGCGTCTATTGTTAAAAATGAATCATAGGTAGTTTCATTATTGGAATTTACTGCTTTTATTTATTTACTAAAAACAAAGACAACATTTTGCTAAAAGTGCAATTTAAATCTTAGTTTGATTTTTTTTTTTTGTTAATCCTTTTGTACTTCAAAACAGAAATCGATTTGCCAATTTTATGAAATCGATTTACCAATTTATAGTTACTTATTTTGAAATTTGGTGTTTTTTTGTAATTATGATGTAATTCCATTACTTTTTATTTTAGATTTACGTTATGACACATTTATAAGATTTATAAAAAAAACCTGATTTCCTTTTGTAAGTTTTTGTTAGGTAAAAACATATAAATATATGCAATTAGTTCAGTTTTTTTTTTTTAAGTTTTATGCCTAATAATTTGTTGAACGTATCTTAGGGGATCTTTGTAAAGGGGGGGTAGTAACTAAAAACTTTTAAAAACATGGAGAATACTGTAGTTTTGCGCATTTGTCAAATATTGATTTACTTATGTTTTATTTACATATTTAACTAATAAGTTAGCTTAGTCTGCATTTGCCACACTTTTGAGGAAAGAATAATTGTTTGTAAATAAAAATGTAAATCAGTGTTTTACATTTTTATTATTTTAGTTAAAGAAAAACTTGATTACTCTTATTAAAAAAAACCCTACTCATCAGGCCACCACTAAAGCAAAAAGAGGGGAGGAACCTCTTTACTTGTGTTAAAATATTTAGGAAATTAAATTTTGAGTAACAAAAGGAATTTTTAGTAAATGATAGCAAATGACCGTTTACTAAAAATTAATGAAATAAACAAGCCAAACAAATGATTTAGAAATGGTCTATGTTGAATTGACTTAACAAGACCCGGGTCCGGTCATAGCACGGCGTTAACTTTAGTTCAAAAATCTCCCGATTGCCAGTTTGCGCGTGTTTTCACACTTACTGTCATAGTAAGTAGAAACCATGTAAAAATAACAGTAAAATTTTCAAAGACCAATCAATATCAAAAGATTTTGCGAGTGGTTTCTATCGGTACAGACATTGTGCGCTAAACTTTTTAGAAAACAAAGCGTATGTTTATGTACCTCATCCTACCATTTTTTAAATTATATCTTAAGGTTATACTTTCACATTGATAACATAATATCAAATTGATATTTGCAGAAAAAATATTACAAAAACTGGACACTCCAATTATAATTGTACTTCTGAATAAAAATTAATTATTAAAAATCTAAGAATCTATATGTAAAATAATTTTTTAAACTTAAAATTTTGTATAACACCAAAATTTAAATCCAAAAATCTCCAAAAATAATTTAAAGAAATTATGAAATACAAGTAATCTGATTAGTAAATAAAATTCTTCAAAGAAAAAAATTCTTCAAAAAAAATGCTGCTATAAAAATTAATTTAATTGGTTTGTAGTTCTTTTGATTTCGTTGCAAGAAAGTAAGACGTCAGGTACAGCCTGCCAATACCTAAAAAACAAAAATAAAATTTTACTACTGTCCTATCAATTTATCATACATGTTCTATTTTCATCCAATTTGTAAATTCTATTTTATAAATCTACACACACTGTAATTTGCATAGCTTTTTAAACAGCCAAGCTTTAGATGTATTGTGGATTAAATAGGTAACCATAACTTAATCTTAAACTAATAGAATAATTTATTCTTAAACGAATATAATAACTTAACCTTAACCAATAGAACTACTATATATATCTACACCTTAATTTATTAAAAAAAAGAAATAGCATAACATAAGGAAAGATGCCATCTTATTGATATTTTTTACAGGTAATATTTTCAAAAACTAATAGAAATAAATTTTGAATATCTTATCTTTTTTATGAAGGTTATATAAAAATTGAGATATAATCAAAATGCAAAAGGATTTTCAGAAATAAAATGAAGCCAAAAAATTTGTTGCTTGTACATTCTTTTTGATGTTTGTCAGCATAATTTTTTTAATAAAAAGTCATAAAACTGAGCAACCTTGCAAGTCATTACATCTCTGATACCTATTTTGAAATTCACAATACTTAAAGTAATCTTTTTGTGACATACAAATCCTGAGTCCTTTTAATACTCCACATCCCTACTTGGATCATGGCTTTACTTAGATAACCTTAACACAAACATCAAGGTTTTGAATAAGCTAATACCTTATATCAGATTACTATAACCTCATACAAAGTATATCTGATACCTTACCAGATGTTTATCAACTTTGAAAAACAACCTTACAAATTGTTTTGGTTTTTGAACATGCAACATATAAATGGATATTAATGAATATAAATGAGAGAAACACAGTTTTTTAAGATATACACCAACATTTGTATAAAAAATCAATAATATAAAACATTTATATCTGTAAAAATAGAAAACTTGTGAACACTTTAGTTCATTACTTATTTAATGTAACAAATAGCTGTTTGAATATACTAATTATAATTCCTAAATTACTTTTTTGTAGCTGTTTACACATTTTATTCACAGTAGTACCAGTCTTTGCATTACTAGAGGTCTTTCAATAATTTCAATAACACCGTTGTAATCAATAATAAACTTGTTTATCAACTTAATAATAACTTAATAATAAGCTAATAATATGTAACCAAGTAAAATATTTATCCTTCATAAAAATATTTAATGAAGTTACAATACAAGTATACAAAAAAAAAAATGCAGAAAAAAATCCAGACAAATTTAAAATCTAATAAACATAACTTTGAAATTCACAAATATGGAGTAAAACAGAAAACAAAAATATAAAAGTAAAAGTAATAACTAATATAGACGATAAAAAGATAAAACCTGGAACTTCAAAAACTTTTAAGCATTTTTTTTTTCATCTCAAAGCCTGCTTACCTCAGCCAAATAAAATAAAAAGTAATATTCAGTGTGTTTAAATATTCTAATAACACAATAATGTAAAATAAACATAAACTTACTTCATAAAATGTTCTGAATGCATTTCTCGATTAAAGATGGACAACACTGATGTGTAGCCTGTCACACGTTGCAAGTTAAGATATTTGTAAACATTTTTTTATACTGTTTTATATATATATATATATATATATATATATATATATATATATATATATATATATATATATATATATATATATATATATATATATATATACCTAATAATAAATATTATTTTTATAAAATATATTTTTTCAAATATAAAATCAAAAACTTTTTTTTTTAATGTTAAGCGAGAAATAAATAAAAATTCTATAACATTTACATTTAACATTCAAGATAAAGTCTTAAAAAATAGTTTGTTTGTTTTTTAATCAAATAATAAAAAAATATTTTTTAAAAATGGCTGCCAGTTTACTGAAAATTAGTTAAAAAGTCACATAGAAACATCAGAGATAAACTCATACTTATCTTTTTCTTCATTTATAAAAAAATTCCACAAATGGTCCTTAGTGTGTTAGGTCCATATTTAGTTAGAGATTTTAAAGTTAATTCATTATTTTAGGTTTTAAGACTTTTTGAAAATCAAAAATGTCAACTTTTATAAGAAAAAATAAGATATCTCAAGATATATTCATTAACTTTCAAAATCTCTAGCTAAAAAGAAAGATATTAATGTAAGTATCAATTTCAAATGTAAAACTGTGTGTATAGAAGAGTTAACATAGTGATTTATCGAGCATCTTTTTGTAGACTTATTTATTATGATTAAAATAATACGAAGATTGTGTAAAAATACATATATTCTTTTATGAACAAAAAATATAACTCCTATTTCAACATATTAACACATAAAAACATTTAACTTCAGATCAATTAAGCCATGATTCTTGGTTACGTAACTGCATATTTTAGTTTAGACTGAACCAAACGTAAAAATATTCCAGTCTACACGACATTTAGTTTTAATAGTCGCGCGAACAATTCGCGCTGAAAGATTTTTGGACAAAAATTAACGCCGTGTAGTAGGTATTACTAGTGACTTTCCCATGGACTGAATATATAGTTTATACGAGAGATCTGTAGTGAAATATTAAAAAGACGTAGAGGACTTAAGCTGAAAAGGAAGTAAGTAGTATATATACGGCCAGCCAACTTCAAACTTTAGCTGACTACGAACCTCATTAAATTTTACTTCATGACATTTATTTGAATTTATGGACGTTTTAAAATTTTTTTTACTAATCTATGGGCTATGTAAAACAACAATGACATTAATTTTAGTTCAGCTAGTGGCATGTACGCAATCAAAATTTAAAATATTTATTGAATCGCAATAAAATTTTGTCCAAGAACCAAGAAGTCCTAACGGTCTTGTCACAGAGCACCCGGAAATGGATTTAACCAGCGCCCTTCCTTACTGTGACGCAAAATATATTAAAGGCTCATGTCAAACCCAGATCCCCGGCTTATAAAGCAAGCTCTCTAACCACTAATATATAAATATACCTGGTTTATTTGCACCATGAGTCAGTATTATTAACCAGGTTGCCAAAATCGGAAACTTAGTTCCATTTACGTTAAGGGATAAAAAGCGCCTACTTTGTACCTTATTAAAATGTTAAGGCTCGCAACAAAGATTTCTTTAAAAGATTTTAGCTAATGATTTAAAAGTTTTGAAAATTATAAGCTACTTTCAATATTTAAAAAAAAAAATTATGGAATACGATAAAAAGTTGAATTGTGTTAGTAACATAATGTTACCAAATAGAAATAGTTAATGTACTAACTTTATCAAATTAAACAATGCATTGGCAAAAATAATGTCGCAATTAAATACGCAAATAATATAAACTTATTTCAAACAATTGTAGGCTAGACTGGGGTAATTCTATCCCCAGGGAAATTCCACCCTCTAAAAAGATATGGAGCAATACAAATAAACAAAAAAACTTGAACCACTTTTAGTTCATGATTTTGATTGCCAACTTTCTGTTTCTCACTAAGTATATGCTTCCTGTATCCATACTGATTTAGAAATTTGTTTATGAAACTTTTTTTGGAAATCCAAAATCATCTTCAATTTAAGTACCTTTTATGTACTTTAAAATACATTTTAAAATTTATTTTTATTGATCATCATACTTTTATTAATCATCATTTATTTTTTGGATGTGTTTAATGTGTACAAAGATGATAAAATTTTTTATTTCAAAATTTGAACCTTTGCTTGTAAATATCCTTAGGCAACATGTTAATTTAGTAGTATTAATATCTGTATATGGTATTAGATATATATAATTATTCATAATTTCAACCAAATAAGACAATTTTAGTCATGGGTCAAATCTCACACCTTTTCATGAAAAACTAGGGAAGCGGCAAATGGAGACGAGAGGAAAGGCCATAAAAAAACAGTGTGGTGAAAGCCTCACTTCAGATAAATGCATTGCTAGGTTCACTAAAGAAAATTAGGCTAAAACCAAGCCGAAAATTGTTTTGTTTGTTTTCTGGGAAAAGGGAAAAACGGGGTATACAGGGATTTGCGCAGCGGTGCGCACATACACCAACTAATATTTAGAGAGATCATGCAGCGGAGTGTGTAAACAACGACTGAGGGTTTGGGGTGGGTAGGTTCTCTTTTAAATGAAGAAGTCGTTTTTTTACATTTTCGGACCTTAAGGACAGCGTCGGAATAAGGGTTTGACAAAAGAGCCTACCTCATGTTTCTACGGTTAAAGTTATAGAGATTTATAATGGAAAAAAAATGTAATTACTGAACTTATACCATATAGAATTTTCAAGAGATCGAAAACATGTTCAGACGATTTTCCTGAAAGAACATTATCGTTTAAAAATCGATATTTTTTGTTTAACTTGGGCTACAATGCTCAAAGACTGATATTATTAAATGTAAATATAATACAACTTTTTTTAAAAATGATCCATTAAATTATGTTGAATTTAATGCTAAGCGTTGTTTTTTAATAGAGCATCAAAAATTAAAAAAGGAAATTGAAAACTTTAAAAAAGAACTTCAGCACGAAATAAAAAAATAAAGATTTATATGAAAAATTAACTTCAACCACATCAGTTATTACTATGAAAACAGACAAATTTGTATATAAATATAATCCAAACAAATCGTGTTATTGCAATTTACTTGTATACAAACATTTATTTTAAAAATATTAGATCTTGCGACTTTTATACTGGCCTTACATCTGTCAATGTGTTTCATCAGTTAGTGCAGTATCACCATTAATCAAAAGAGATAAAGTGATATTAAAAAAAAACATTTACTTCTGTTTTTTAAAATTTAAAAAAATCCTTAACTACTCGGACCATAATAAATGTAATGCAGCAAAGATGACTTTTTAATGATGCTAATACTTGGATTATTGACAGCTGATTTTGCTGACAGGTTTAATATATTTTTAGGATTAGCAAATGCAATATTTTCTTCATTGTTGAAAGCTTCTAGCTCACTTTTAAACCACATGGTTTTTGTGTCAAGTAAAGATGTTATAAGACAGGCAATGCAAAACAGATTTTGGAAAGTAAATTATTTAGACTAACACTAAATTTTAGATATAACAAAATTTATTATGGAATCACCTTAAAATTTTGACTTCCAGAAACTAACAGGGAATAAATACAAACATTACAGCAATATAAAAACATTAGTACCCGTAGCTTTAAAATCATCAATAATTTCTTTAAAAAATTTCTAAAGCTTACAGAAGCTAAATTTCGGATAAAAAAATTACATATCGCAACAGTTATTTAGATTGTATTACAAAATACTCTTGTATAATGTATGATTAAAGCTTTAATATTAATTTTTTAATACAAATGAAGTGATTTTAATTGAATCCATTTTTATCAGTCACTTTAAAAATATGATGAGTATTTGTATAAAGATAATTAAAATTTCAAACAATAATATTTGCTTTACTTGTTGTTGTTTTTTAGGTGAATCAATGGCAATTGATGGAATATCTTTAAAATGCTGAGGTAATTAAAATAATTTTTAATTATTCAGGAATTTTAAGGATTAAATTATTTAGCAAAAAAATTGTTTGATAATGAGTTCAGTTCAAATTAAAAAAAAAAAAAATAATATTAGTTCTTGCATAATTAATATCAGTTCTCTTATCTATTAAAATTTAGAATATTTTTCAACAATTTGTGACCTCCATGAATATAAAGGGGAAAGGTGGAAATATGCTTTAAGAGCACTAATTTATATGGTGTAGTGAAAGGTATACCTTTATAAGATATGTAAAACTTTTTTATACTCATTTTTTATAAATTCAAAAATTTCTCCTTGTGTTTTTTTTTTTTTTTTTTAATTCTTTTTTATTAACAGCTTCTTCTTTTAAATACGATGGAGCGACTGAAACTTTAATTGATGGCATTTTGTCTAACTTCTAAAAATGTGCTTCATTTCGAAAAGATGGCGGAAAAGAAAAAAATTTAGATTGATTGATATAAATTTATATTTATTAAAATCAATCTAAAATTTCTTTATTGAAATATTGACATATATTTCAATAAAGAAATATTTTCTTTTTGTCTGCTAATAATTTTTTTTTCAGTGTTAATTCAACATTACAAATTAAAACTCAATTATGGAAAAAGTCTAGAATTGAGTTGATGTTTTAAGTAAAATGAGGAAAGCCCAAAATGTAACTGATGTAATATTTTTATTTTTTGATAAAAAAAAAATCTTTTCGAAATAAGTTACATCTTTTCGAAATGAAGCACATTTTTAGAAGTTAGACAAAATGCCATCAATTAAAGTTTCAGTCGCTCCATCGTATTTAATAGAAGAAGCTGTTAATAAAAAAGAATTAGAAAAAAAAAAAAAAAAAAAAACACAAGGAGAAATTTTTGAATATAATAAGATAAAAAAAAAATTCCAATAATGTTTAAAATTGGTATTAATATTAATGTTTATTAGATGAAGATGAGTGAAAAATAAGTAATGTTTATCTAATAAAGATAAGTATAAAAATAAGTTACAAGTTATTTTTTGATCTTGAAAATTGTTTGAATGATAATTTATTATTTATCAAAATATTTTCTTTTTTAATTTTTGTTGTTTTTATATTTTAAATAAAAGTCGATATTATTGTGTCATATATTTTAATATACCTTAAATTATACTATTATATTTTATATTAATAATGAGTATTTTTGTTTTTTTGTATTTCTATTTTTTTTCAATATTCCATAATTATCTTATGTAGATATTTATGTTTTAGCAACCTAGTATTCTTTTATTATTTGTCTTTGTTATTGAGCCTTAAGTTATTTGAATATAATATATTCAGAACTCTGCTGAATAATAGAGTAATTAATAAATTAATAAAAATGAGTTTAAAATATTATAAATTTATAAAATAAAGAAAATCTTATCTTTGCTTATAATGTCTACTAATATTATTGTTTAGCAAGTATCATGGTTATAAAATGTTTAAATTTAGCTAGTTTAATTAAGCCTGTTAGTACACTTATATTACAGTTTCTTCATTTTATATTAGTTCATGTAATTTTTTCAAAATCAAATATGCGGAAAGGAGCTGTTTGGAATGAAGATTTACAAGAAGAAGTAATTCCATCTAATTGAATTAGTGATAAAACTGTTTGTCGGCTTCCAGGTACCAAAGTTTTTTAAATAATTTGGTAAAAAGAGTTATTTTGTTGATACAAAATATATAACTATTTGTATAACTATTTCAATTCTAAAAGAAAGCAAACAGTATTGTGAAAATTTTAAATTCACAACTACAAAAGAAAAATGTGATAATGAGAATGTTGACAAGTGGATGCAAGATTTGCACACAAGTGGAAACTTGGATGCAAATTTTCCATTTGTGTGGTTTGGATGGTTCTCCACAATATAATATATCTCCACAAGCATAATATTAGATTTACTTCATGTTTTTTACAGATAAATCAATTACAGATAAATTAATTAGTTAATTGGTGAAACGTCTTCTAAAGATAGAATAGACAAAATTATGCTGAGGTAATCAAAAACAGTATTGGACTCTTACCTCATTTATAATCAGGGTGTCTGCAGCTCCTCTAAAATCCTCTAAAGTCCTCTTTTTTTTAAAACCACTTCTAAAATCCTCTATTATCCTCTAAAGAGGTAAAAATTTGATCAAAGCTCCTCATTAATTCTTCCTTTTTTAATTTTTGATGGAAGTATAGTGTTCAAAATACCCATTCTTGGTCTGCAAAACTGGTTAATGCCTTAAATTGCATGAAATGTAAAAAATTGCTTTAGAAAATGCATGCCATTTAACATAAAAAATGACATTATTTGATCCTCGTCCCAGCCCCATAAGTGTATAAACATGGACGTTAAACCATTAATAAATGGCCACACAAAATTTCTTATAAAAATTTTATGTGGCCACCCCGAAAATTATTTTTAAATGCTAGAAATGTTTTATATTTTGACTACCAATTTATTTTTAATATATTAAAAAGGTTGTTTTATTTAAATTAAATATTTGAAAAGGTTATTAATAACCAACTGACAGTTATACTATTTTTTAAAATTCAGAGTATTTTCAAAAAGTTATATGGTCTCTATGAATATGAAGGGCAAAGGTGGAAAAATATGTTTTAAGAACACTAATCTATATGGCGTTGAAAAAGATGTAACACTTCATAAGATGTAACACTTTTCCATTCATTATTAATTTTTTAAATCTTCCCTTTTTGATTTTTTAATATATTTTTTTTATTTACAGCTTCTTCTATTGTATTCAATGGACCAAAAGAACCCTCGGTTAATGGAACATTGTTTGACTTTCTAAATTACGCTTTATTTCAAAAAGGTGGTGGAAAAAAGAAGAAATTTATGTAGATTTTATTCAATTACATGTAAATATATGTAATATTTGAATATGTATTTTTAAATAAAACAAGTTTTATCTCTTTCTTTATTCATACCTAGCTTTTTTAACTAAACTAAACTGAAAAAGTTCTAAATAGTCTAAGTATAGACTATGAATAGATTTAAAAACCATAATATACCTTGATAATGTACAGCAACACTAATGTACATGCATAGTACGTTTTGATGGTGATCATATTTTGACGCACATAGCACGTTTACATACATATATACATTTTGACATACATAGCACGTTTTGATGGTGAAAAAAGTGTTTTACAGTCGTTTAACGTTGATAAATCAACGTTTAACACTATCATTTTAAACGTTGTATTAACGTAAATTCAACGTTGTTGAAACGCTTTTTCGCGTCGAATCAACGTTGATATAACGTTTGAACCTAACGTTGATTTAACGTTAATAAATCAACGTTGAAAAAAACATTCATTTTAAACGTTAAATCAACGTTAGTTCAACGTTATTGTAACGTTTTTTCGCGTCAATTCAACGTTGATATAACGTTTGAACCTAACGTTGATTTAACGTTGAAAAAAACTTTCATTCTAAACGTTAAACCAACGTTAATTCAACGTTAGGTTTCAACGATATTTCAACGTTATTTCAACGTTATTTGCCGGCTGGGGTAATATATATTAGATATAGTTCATGTTATGTACAATATATTCAACTATATTGGAAATTCAAAACAAAAAGAAAAAAATTTAGGAGGGGACATAAATATCTAACATACTACCTATAAATATCTTTTTACTTTTGAGAAAAGACATTGTTAGTAGAATTCTAAACTTTTTGTTACAACTAAAAATTTAGAAACTTGTGTTATGGAAGGAACAAAAGGTTTCTTCCATGATACAAGTTTTAATGGCTACAAAAAAAAATTTATAACCCACATGCAATATCTTTACCTGAAATTAAATAGGTCTTTATAGGCAGCAAGTTAGGTATTATTGCCCGCTTTTATTTATTTTTGAATTTCAAATTTAGTTTACAAAGGTCATTCTTTTTAAATCTTTTTAAGGTCTTTTCCATCCTGCTCAATAGTGATTTGTTTTTAAGTCGCATTGCGATCATAATTATATGTTTAGTTTAATTGAAACCATGATTATGTTTTTTTATTTAATATAAGTAATTTAAAATATTTTGAAATATGTGAAAAAAACCATAATTTCAATATCAATATCACCGAGACAAAGAAAAGTTTTTTTTTTTAAATACTAAATGAAATGCGGTGCAAAAGATATATTTTTAAATAAAAAATACAACATCAAAGTGAAAAGTCGTTACAACAATTTAAAAGTTAAAACCAAGCGTCTTTTATTGTATTGCATCGTTTTTCAAACTCTTTTTTCTCTCTAGATAAAATTAGCAAAAGAATAGAAACGAAAAAATTAAGCATGCGTTATAAACTCGATAGCTTTATAAAATAAAAAATAATATAAAAGTAAAGCAGTAAAATACAATGTAAAAAAATGCATTATAATTAAAGTATGTTCCTTTAGATAATAAAATTTTCTTATAAACACGTTTGACAACGAGCAGGGTTTGTAAAGTTACCGTCTTTTTTAATAACCGACAATATTGAAATATCATTATACCAGTTAATTTCCGGAAAGTGTTTAGATAAAATATTTGCTTATCGAGATCTAATTTTAATGCACAAAAAACTTGGTGTTGTAAAAAACCTACTTGGTGTTGTAAAAGCAGTGTATAATTTGCTCGAATTTGTAATTAGCATGATTTTATCCGGGTATTATGTCTAAATAAGAGCTTTAGATGCTATAATTATTTACTTTTTATGTTTTTATAAGTTTCAATTTTCTCTTTTTTATATCATTTTCAAAACTTTTTTATTACCAATATTGTAAATCTAAATGACATTAATTTTCAATCCTTAGATTAATTCCACTCAGCAGTGTTCGCTTGATTTTAGTTAAAAGTTTTTTTGAAAAAGTATTCTTTTATGGATCCTAGCTCTAATCGATTCTAGCACATAATTATTTAATATAGTTGTCAAAACAACATTTCTATCAATTTTCACGCAAAAAATTAGAATTCCGATCAAGAAAGGCCCTATTAAATTGCCAATTTATTGTAAATTAAGAAAAATTACCAAACAATCGGAACAGATCATATTCAACCTAGTGGACACAAACGTAAAAAAGAGGTCTTTTAAACATCTTATACACGTTTTAAACGTCTGTTAAATGTCTTTTGAACGTTTTGGACGTCTTTTGAATGTTCAAAAGACGCTTTTCTTGGTCCGGTGTCCACTGGGAACGTTTTAGCAAACTTGTGTAATAATGAAAGTAAATCAAATAAACATTGCAAGGTTTCCGCGTACAAGCTTATTGACAAGAAGTAAAAAATAAAACTCACAAACAAACAAAACTTTGTTTTAATCTAAAATTAATTATTTTTTTCTCAGTCCTCAGAGCAAAATACATTATTTAATGCCCGCTTAACTCAAAACGCAATTAAATTAAAATATATATGCACATTCTTCCCATTTCAATTACTATATTTATGGATTATAAATTTTTATAACTATAAACTTTATAACAACTATTAAATTTATCATATCAGTTGTGATACTTTGTGTTTTTCATATAACAGAATAACTTAAACATGTAAAAAATAGTGATTGTAGAAAAAACCTAATTTATTATTGCATTTTAAAGGTAAACTGACTCGTACAAAAACAATCTATTTATACTTAAACCGCATTTACAACCTCTAAAATATAGTAAACGATAAAAGTTAAACAGGTAACAAAAACTTTCATGTAATGGCTTTAAGATATGCCGAGTAATAAAATCTTTTATAAAAATAAAAAAAACTCACCAACATATGTTAAAAACACGGAAGTTTTGGATGGAACCGTCCTGGGCTTCATGCCATGGATCTCCAGCATATACTTTGACATTTGTAAATAACCTTTCGTTCCGGTTTAGTATCTCATATACTTTTTTGTTATTAATATATACATAAAAATAATTAAGACCCCATTCATATTGCTGAAGTATATCAACATTTATCCACACGTCAAGTGGAAGAGGTTTGGATTCAAAAAGATTGTTGTTGTTACCATTTATTGCAAAAACAACTTGTAACTTTTGCTTAGAAATCCATACGCCAGGAATTCGATCACCGTATTTTACATTATCCTCTCCTAGAGTCAAATGAATGACACTTCTAATTTCATTTGAAAAACTGTTAAGTTTTAAATCAAAAGAAATAATAAATGATTTTTTTAATTTTGACAAAACTGCAACCAAGTTATCATTCTTCAGTATCTCTTTGTCAGTATTAAGCACAAAGTCTAATGAAAAAAAAGCACATTTTAATGATCTTAGGTTTTTTAATATAGAATTTTTTTTTTTAGATGCATAGTATTTATCATATATTAAAATTTAAAATGAGGTAAATCGTGTTAATAAATAAAAAAGCTGTAGCAAGCAGGAGACATAAATTGTCTTATTTTCAAGCCCAATCATATAATAAGAGTTACATAATAAGAATTTTAAACACCTTAGTTACAATATAGCTAATATTATAATATAAACATAAGTGTTAAAATATAACGCATTATATCAAAGATTAAAAATCATTTAAAATTATTATTTTTTAAATTAAAGTTAAAATTAAAACTAATGCTTTTCAACATTTTTTATTCAAAATTTCAAAAAAATTAAAATTAAAGTTTTTCAACAAAAAATTAAATTAGATTAAAATTGCAACAAAAGAGAAGTAGTGACAATAACTATTTTTTTTTTAGATAATTTGTATTATTTAATGCATTTCTTTTCAACGAGATATTTTAAATCAATTTTTTTTTGTAGTAAGAGATTCTTAGATTCTTTTCTTAATTTTTTCAAGGAGATTTTTTTGAACATTATCATTTTTTGTAATAAATTTTAAAAAATGTTTCCATAAAAACGGTTCGCAGTATTGGATTTTGTAAGAATTTAGTTTTGAATTAGTTTTACGAACAATAAAGTTATTAATTGAAAGTTACGTAGGATACTTGTGCAATATTTTACTATAGTAAGACTGAAATACAATTGGAGAGAGCCTATTTTGAGTTTTAAACATGAAACATTTTTAAGAATAAAAAAATAAACATTCAGTTTCCTCGGGACAATTAAATTACAAAAAACCTTACCTTTTGGATTCAGTACAGCCGGCGGTAAATGTTCACCTATAATTGCGTGTAAAAATAGGAATTTATATGAATTCAGTTAAACAATCAATTTAAAAAAATGGTTAATTAGAGAACTATATTATTATTTAGAAAATTAACTTGCTGTAGTGGTGTAGTGGTAGAGCGCTCGCTTCATAAACGAGTGGTTCCGAGTTCGATCCCCACCACGTCCCTGGTAGTACCGCGCTCAACTCGTTTCTCCGCTCAGCGGCCTTGTTGGTCAAGGTTCGTGTTTCGGAGTTATAGAGTTGAGAGAGGGTTATAGCCACAAAATAAGTAGCCTCCTTGTCTGTAGTGGCCTTCTCGGCCTTGAGGAGGTGAAGTAAAAAAAAAAAAAAAAAACTTAGATGTGTAAATAACAAAAAATAGTGCATTTAAACGTTTTATAAAGTATTTTTGTATTATTAAAATAAAAACGCAGGCTTATTACGACGGCTGATTTACACGCACACCTTAAAAATAGGATAAAATACATTTGTACCTGGCTCCCCATTTTCAAGAGTCAAATTTTTTATTGATCCATCAAAAGGTAAATTCCAAGAATTTGATGCATAAACTGCGACATTTTTAAATACTTCAGTATTTTTGTTATCTATAGAAAATGCATTTTCTCCATTTACGTTAACTGTGAAATAATAAAAATTGCGATCATTAAGTTGCTGACTAATAACAATGTTTGTCCACACATTGAGTGGAAATTTATCGAGAATTTTTTTTTGGTAGGATTTTCCATTAATAGGTGCATTAATTACAAATCCATCATTTTGATACCAAAATCCCAGAATTCCAAGATGGAAATTACCTACATTAGTACCATCTTCGAAAAAAAGGATATTTTTAGAATCTAATGAGTAGAAGTTCGGATTTATATCAAATGAAATTTTGTAGGACTTGGCCAAAATAGGGATACGGGCTACTAATTCTTTTTTTTTTATTGGTGTTTTGTGATCTCTAATCAGCACATCTGGAAAACACAAACACGAAAATAAATTTAAAAACTAACTAAATTAATAACAAAAACTTTTAGCGAAAATATTTTTCTTTATTAATACGTAAATCGAGAACTGTTTTTCTTACAGATGTTATTTATTTGCAATATTTATTTACTACTATTATTTCTAACTTGTAATAGTTTCCATAAAATCATAATATTACAAGTATGCATAAGTGTGATATTTATTTAAACACTATTATGTTTTGTTTTTTCTAAACAACTTTGTTAGAAAATAACATAATCATTAAAAACAAAAATGATATAAAAACTCTGCAACAATATTAATAGTTTTTAAAATGAATAAATTTAGATAATATCTTTAATTATTTACGCTTGTTTCAAAAACTATTAACCTCGATATTAATCTATGATACCTAAACCATGTGTGACAACGGATAGTAAAACGACACCAATTATCACTCTCTAAGAAAAAAACGTTATTCATAAATTAGGCTGTTTTTTATTAAAACTTATTTTAAAAAAGTTTGTAAAAACTTGTTAAACAAAATTTAATTAATTATATACCATTTTTTTCTGATATCTGTTTAGCGATGTTTCTGTCAGAATACCTGCATATGTTGCGTATTTATATAGAAAACAAGGTTACTGTTGTGTGACGGAATTAATATTCTTTACAATCAAATATGTAGTTTTGTCTTAGATTTCATTATTCAAAATTATTTTAATCACCCTTTGACGTAAATTCATAATTTTGTATAGATTTTTGCAATTTAATTAAAATAGCTTTCATAAAACCGTATCATTACTAAAATGCCAACATCTTAAGATGTTGGCATTTTAATTGTTTAATGTTGGCCTTTTAATTGTTTAATGGTTCGCTAAGGAATATTGCAACTAAAATTTTAGTTGCAATATTCCTTAGCGAACCATTCAAACAAAAATTGTTTTTACAAAAGATGGGCACTTTTTTACTTTTGACTATATTTTTATTTTAACAGCATTGCGTAAATGCATAAAGTTTTATACGTGCTTTATTTAGTTTTATTATATATACATGCATTTATTATATATACAGTTTTATTATATAATAAATGCATTATTTAGTTTTATTAAACATTATTTGAGAGCTTATACTGCAGTTAAGGCGATTTACGAGTTATTCGATATCTTTAATTTGGAACTAGCATTTTTTTTTTTTTTCACATGTTTATTTTACAACTACAAAGTATTTACAAGTAACCAATCACAGATTGGCGGTAAAGATATACAAACATAAATATCATAAACATAAAGTACGAAATACACGATGTGAACAAAAATATAGTTGCATACAACTCCGAGACAAGATTAAAATAAATACTAACTACAACAATGTAGTAACGTGCACGTAAAAATAATCCGATAAATATATCTCTACATTATTCCAGTTAAAATAAAATAATACAATAAATAAAAATAAATTAGCTGATTTTTCTAAGAAGTGTTTAGATGTTTGACTACAAGTTTATTTACCACATTTCAAACTAATATTTGTGTATAAAAATAATAAAAACGAAATTTGTGTAAGATTGATAAGAAGAATTACTTGTTAGCAGTTATAGGAAGCTCGCAGAAGACTTAAGTCAGTCTTGTCATCGAATATTTTTTTCTGAATGTGTAATACACATAAAAATCAGTTGTATACGTGGTATATATGTATGTTGTACATAGATACCTTGTTTGCAATATTATTATTATTTATTTTTTTATCGATTTGTATTAAAAGTTAAGCTACATTTTTTTAATTTTTTTTGTTAATGTTTTAAAAAAATTCTAATTGATATGTAATTGATAATTTTGAGAGTCTTGTTGTTTCAAACGGTATCTTAAAGTTGCCTGTTGCTCTTGTATTGTATTTATTTATATTGTATTTAAAAAGTGTGCTGTAAAATATTCTGGAACCAGATTTAGTTTATATTTAAACATGAAAAGTATATTTTGAAAAATGTTTATTTGAAATATATTTAGTGCGTTCATTTTTTCCAGTAAGGGTTGAGCATGAGCAAATTTATTTTTGTTGTATACTAGTCTTGAAGCGTGTTTTTGACGTAGGTAAAGTGGTTCTAATTAAGATTTGTGGGTACTGCCCCATGCTATATTGGCATACATCAGGTAGCTATGTATGAATGAAAAGTAGACAAGTTTTAGACTTGTGACAAAAATGGTCTTGCTTTGTATAGTAAACTAATGTTCTTTGATATTTTTGAGTTAATGTAGTTTATGTGGGGTTTCCAGGAGATATGCTCGTCAATTAGTCCTAAACTTTGTATTCAAAACTCTTTTGATGGTTACATTTTCTATATTATGTGTTGGTAGGTTCAGGGGTTTTTTTAATTTGTTGATTAGAGTGAAATAATATATACTTAGTTTTTTCTATATTGAATGACAGCTTATTGGATTTAAACCATATATTAATTTTATTTAGTTCAGCATTTATTTTTTCAAAAAGATCTTCAATTGTCTTTGCTGAGTGAAATAAGTTTGTATCGTCTGCACACATCATACTTTTAAAGATATTAGAGGCATTTAGAAGATCGTTTATATAAATATGAAACAAAAGAGAAGCAAGAAAGGAACCTTAGGGTACACTACATTTTGTTCTGAGTAGACTTAAGTTGCTTTTGCATGATTTTGTCAGCGTATTATGTCCAAATATTAGATGCTATAATGTTTATTGCATCAAGTTTTCATAATGTTTAAAGAATTTTTAAAACTTTTTTATTACCCCTAATTGCAAATCAAAGGACAACATTTTTAAGTTTTTAGATCTATTCCGCTCAACAGCGTTCACTTAATTTAACTAAAGATAAGAGTTTCGTAATATCTAAAATTGATTTAACTACATTGACGCTAAAAAACAAATACTAAACTTTTTAGTCCCTAATTTTATCAAAATAGACTTAGAACTTAAATTTTTTTAGAGTTTTTACAAATTTTTTAAAATAAATTTTTATATAAAACAGTTTAATTTATGAATAACGTATTTTTCTTAAAGAGTGATACTTGGTATCGTTTTACTACCCGTTGTTACACATGTTTAGGTATCTTAGATTAATGTCAAGATTATATCAAGATTAAATTTTTATGGATTAAATTTAGATACTATCTAAATTTATTCGTTTCAAAAACTATTAATTTTGTTGTAGAGTTTTTATATCATTTTTGTCTTTGATGTTATTTTTTTACAAAATCATTAAAAAAAAAACCATAATAATGTTTAAATAAAGATCACACTTATGCATATTTATAATTCTAAGGTTTCATAGAGGCAACTTTTACAAGTTACCCAGCAAACATGTCAGTGTTGAATCAACGTTGAAAACCGGTCGCAAAAGATGTTGCGGAAACGTTGACAAAGTAATCGATTTTGCAAAGATATGTGACGTTGTTAAAGAGACGTTGATTAAACGTTGTAGCGTAACGTTGAAAAAACGTTATTAAAAGACGTTACAAAAATGTCTCAACTAAACGTTGAAAAAGCGTTACTTAAAAGACGTTGCATAGGCGCCGCATCTTAACGTTGAAAAAACGTTACTTGAAAAGCGTTACTTTAACGTTGTTAAAGCAGTTGATTTTGCAAGGATTTGTAACGATGGTAGTAAAACGTCGATTTATCGTGACTCAAAGACGTCGAGTAAAGGTTGAAATATAACGTTAAATCAACGCTCAAATGCGCTGGAGAAAGTATCGCAAAATATTATTAAACGTGATTAAACTTGGTTATAGTGAATATTGAATTTGAAAATAAAACAAAATTGTATGTTGAACTCTGCACTTGCAATATTTCCAAAGACGATTTTTAATACAAATAGTAATATACAATGAAAAACATAAAAAATATACAATTTATTTATATAAAATTTACAATTTATAGATAAAAATATAAACATCTTTTTATGATTGTTTATATTTTTATCTATAAATTGTGATTGTCGTAATAGCATAAAGTAATTGTTTTTAAAAATAACACGACGTTTTTTATTCTTGAAATGTTTTGTAATAAACAACTGGGGTTGATATTTGACTGGGGCCGGGGCCGGGTTTGATAAAATCTAGCCGGGGTCAGGGCCGGGTTTGAGACCAGGCTGCATAAACATTTATACATCCTAAAGTATATTTTTTAAACTTAAAATTCATGCTATATTTTGTATATATATGCATATATGAACATCATTGTGATCAACATGACCATCATAATCATCATAACTATCATCATCATCAGTATATGTTCGTTCTCTGTTCGTTATTGCAACAAGGTCATCGGCTCACAGGATTTTAGGTTATTGCCGTGCCGCTCAGTATTTTTTAAAATTTTTTTCAGTATTACCAATAAGAAAGATCTAAACTTTTTAAAAATGTTATTTTTGAAAAAAAATTTTGAGCAAAAACTTTAAATATAAGAGCCGTTCTAAAAAATGCGTTGCATTACCGAATGCATCAAAAATTATGCATGGTTTATGTGTGGGGATCATAAAAATGACATTCGGGTATGTTTTTTTTATTCATTTTCTTCAAATCAAGCTATAAACTAAAGAAATCCACATTTCTAAATTTTGACATTTTTCATATATAGGCTATATATAGAAAAATTCTTTCCTCAAGAGCATTTAATGATTTAGCTGAAAGAGCAATATAAAACTTAGCAAAAATAAAACTTGTTCAAGATTTTCATGGTTTGATTACTGCAAAGGAAGAAAAAAAGTAATTTTTGCTACTTACTGTGCAAGAGCATAGAAATCTGTATCCAGACTGTTTATGTTACTTTTTATGTTTCTGAGTTTAAGTAAACTTTATATAATATATTAGTTAACAAATCTCGTACTTGGGTTTTCAAAAAAGAAACGTTTAACAAAATTTTTTTTATATACATTTTTAAGAAAATTTTTTCTGCTGGATATAATATTTACTAAATCGAATGTCTAAAAAGTATAAACTTTGCTTTTAAAACGAAAAAGATTTTTTCGAAATTTGGTTTTAACTGTGAGGTGTTGCATTACCGAACTTTCTGGTTTTCGCTTATAAATGAATTTGAAGGGTCTATTTTGCAATCATTTTTAAGTTACTATTTTAAGATAAAACTTATTTTCTTAGTTTTTATCCAAAAAATAAAATCGATGCAAATAATAATGGTAAAATCAAACGGAAATTATTCAAAGTCTCAGAGGCATGTTATAGGACTTTCAGGGGAATGAAACGGACAATCAATTAAAACAGAGGAAATTTTTTATTACAGAATATAAAACTATATATTTAACGTTTATGTAAATAAATTTTAAATAGATAAACAAAGCTTTTAATACAACGTAGTTATAGTTAACAAATGCGCTCATTTTGATTACACAAATAACACTATTTTTGATTATTTTAAAATAAAAACTTTACAACAATCTTCTGACATCTTTCTTTAAATCAAAGTAATAAATTTTTCAAGTATTTTTAAACTAATTTTGACTTTATGAAAAAAATACACTCAGCAAACTGTTGTTTTAGACAATCTTCCCAGCAAAAATTTTACAGCGGAATTTTAGTAGACTTTTATAGGCATTTTAAGAGTTTCCTGCTTTTTTTCCACTGTGAAAAGGTTCATTGGTTACATAGTGGACCACAATTGGCAGTCGCCATAATGGC